CATGAAACTGAGCAAACTCAGGGAGGCAGTGAAGGACAGGAAGGCCTGGCACGATATGGTTTATGGGGTTACGAAGAGTTGGACATGACTTAATGACTGAACAACAACAAGGCCCTATAGGCTTGGCTCTTGGCTCTTCACCTAAGTAGTGGGCCAGACCTTTGAATGAGATATGTGTTAGTTAGCTTTGGTTGCTTCTGTTATTATTGTTATTTCTGTTGTTTTTTATATTCCGATGGTTTATTATATATTATGTTATATTTTACTTTATTTTTAATTCCTTGTACTCAGGTTTCTTTGAATTGTAAGTTACCCAGCGTTGCTCTTGAGAACTGGGTGACCATATAAATCTAATAAAGAATTAAATAATTAAATAAAAATCTTCACAGATCAAGTCCCATTGGATTTTAATATGGAATCAGCTAGATAGCATGCCTTTTTTCTGCATTTTACATTACATGCAAAAATAAGTAAAATAAAATCTGAGGAGTTGTTACAAAGGGGGAGCTGTGAAGCTGTCAAACCCCATTCCCTTTTCTGGACCCGTGAAGAGCATGCTGCATGGTTGAAGCCCAAGAACTGAAAGGCTGTCTGAAACAGAAATTTCTGTTAGTTGGAAACTAGGTTGCCCACAAGCTCTGTGCAGTTTCATTCTTGCAAATAGAATGATCTTTTTTTTTTTCAATTCTGGATACACCACAGCTGAGCCAGAGAGAAATCACTTCACCTGGTGAATGCAGACAACAGAGTGAGAACAAAACAGCCTGGAAATGAGTCTAGAAATGTGCAAAGATCCTATGTGGATCGATCAAAAGCCAAGTTTCATTTAAGTCAGGAGCCAAAGTAAACCTCTTCAAGATACCTGGCAATTCTACAGTGCCTCTAAGAATGCTTTTCTCCTCTCCATAAGCACAGTCTGGTTGCAAAATTTGTTATGGGAGATGAAAAGGGCTCCACTTGCAAAGATGTGGCTTTCCAATCCTTTTAAAGGGAAAATTAATTGATTTCCTTAGAAAAGTAAAATAATACTTACGCCCTCCCTTCTCACCTGCATTCCATTCCTGCGGTGGGATAATTGTAGTTGTCATCTCTTCTTGGATTCCTAAGGGATGCAAGATGTAGAGTAATGGATATGATAACTTCCCCCAGAAATGATACATTCTCAGGCCTGAATAAATGAATTCCGTCTGCCTATTTGGATAAATGTGTTTGGGCATCAGTTTCTTTGCCTTGGCTTGAAAACAGGAAAGTACAAGATGTTACACAGATGAAGAAGGTCCACACCCTAATCACTGCCACTTTCCCCCCCAATTCTGTTGGACTTTCCATGATTTCACTAGGGATTGTTCACCACCCTCCCAAGCTGATATTCGTAGTTGTCAGCCCACAGGAAAAGGCACATTACCAGTCCAAATGATTACAGTAAACTTGAGCCTTCTCTCATCTTCCAGAAATTTTTGCAGCGAATTCCCACCCCAGACTGGTGCTTTTGAAAATGATATCGCCAGAAGCTGAGAGCTGGGGTGTCCAGCTTCCATTACGTCAGTCCACTAGAGATGAGATGTCTGTGCTATGCCTTAGGATGGCCTCATTCAGCCTCCCTTGTAAGAAAGATCAAGGGTTTACTGGAAAACATGACCTCACCTCCTGATTTAGAATTGGGAAACAATACTTTCCAGTTCTATGGCTATGCTGGAAGGATGAGTGGGAGGAATTTGCCCTTAATCATGATTCTATGTCCGCACTGAAACAAATAGGGTTATTTTATGGGTGTGTGTGTGTGTATGGAACAAAATGTGTATGGATATTACTTTGTTGAAGTGAATGAAATCAAGAGTGGTGGCTCCTCTCCTGAATTTTTTGGTTAAGAAAAATGTAATTTTGCATCAAAGAACAAATATAGACAAGGAGAGCATGAGACAAATTCAAGACACACGGAATGATTAATGGTTATTATCCATGATGGAACTTCCATCTTCAGAGGCGGCCTACCTGTGAACTGCAGTTTTCTAATTTTACATTAAAAAAAATATAACTCTCTGCCATTCCTCCCAGGCATTTTGCATTTGTGTAGACATCATTCCCCCCTCCCCACACTGCCCCTTATTTGATTCTGACAACAACCCTGAGGTTGTAAGATAATTAGTAGCCCAATCGGGTTTTATGCTGGAGAGGAGAGAGGTTCCCAGTGGCGTCTCTTCTCAGACTGGTGGTCTAACCACCGAGGGCCTCTATGGGGTCCAAAAGGTCAAGATGGCAACCGTGACTGTGTGACTGACACTGACTCTTTTTTATGGGTGTTGCGTGGCCCTGCTAACCCCTCTGCAACGCTACACAAGGGTTTTTATGGAGTTCTCCTGAAGCCTCTGGTTAGCAAATGTCAGAAAAGGGAAACTGAATTCAATAGGTCTTTAGCCTCATTCATCACAGCTCTTCTTCCCTATTGACCCAAAGGGCAGAAGAGGTGTTAAGGTCACTTTCCACAATTTGGTGCCCTACAGATGTATTGGCACTGCTCATCCTATGCTTACCCAGGCAGAGGGTGCCACTTGGAAGGTGCCAGGTTGGGGGAGGTTGTGCCAAGATGTCTCATTCTCAAACTGACCCCAAGAAATGAAGCGCTGCCCAGAAGTGAGCTGGGCCACCCCAAGGGCTGATGTGGGAGAAGGTTTAAGGAATAAGCAAAGCTTACGCATGCAGGGTGCAAGAGCGCTGCGGCTTTGCTGGAAGCCCTGGGCGCATCGATTGCAGGTCAGGCCGGCGACTCCGTTCTTGCATTGGCACTGCCCGGTGGTCTGGTTGCAAATGGCCCCAATGGCCCCAACAGGGTGACACTGGCAAGCTGGAAAGGAAAAAGTGGGAGGAGTTACAGAATGAGAATACTGTGTGCACCTCCATTACCATCTGTCGCGCCTCCCTTTTGGGTTCAAAGGGGTGTGCTGTTGTGCAGGACTGCAAACTTTCCCAGTGCTGTGGCTTTAAGAGAGAAAGTTCCCAAACTCCCTCTCCTGTCTATAGTGATTTCACATCAGGATAAGCCTGGCTTTGTTTTTTAACCATGGTTTGCTGACAAGCCACAGTTGCCTAGATTCAGACATTGCCCTAAGCCATAAAGCAGGATCCCTAATAGCAGGATTCATTCATCCTGCTAAGTCAGTGTTTCTCAACCTTGGCCACTCTAAGATGTGTGGACTTCAATTCCCAGAATTCCCCAGCCAG